CTCCCTTTGGCAGCATTGGCAGAGAACCTGTCGATGGCAGAAAGCACTTCCTACCCTACAATTCTCACCCCAGAGAAACAATCAGGAGGAGAAATTGGGGAGATTCTGCTGAATTCTCAGGGATGGGGTTGCTGGGGGGGGGGCAGGGAAGGCTGCTGGGTGAACAGCCCTTCTAGCTTGTCTTGGGTGGTCCCAGCCTCCCTCTGTCCACTCTCTCGCTTCCTGGCTTCCTGCCCTCCAGACAGGGCAAACTGCCCCACCTGCAGTGCTACTGATGCTCCTGGGATGGTGGGGCTCCTGCCCCAGAGACTCTGCAGGGTCACTCAGGCCCTGGAGAAAGCTGGACTAGGCACCTCCGGGTTTGCTGCCCATGACTTTGAGTGGGTTGTGGGAAGTCTGTTTGTGTTTCCTGGAGACCCTGGAAGCTCATTCTCAAACTATAAAATAGTTTAATTCTAACGACCCTCTAAAAGGATGCTAAGGACCAGCTGTCTGCAAGGAATATAAATCCTTCCATTCTCCACCATCCCGTCAGAGCTGAAGAAGCTTCTTGGATGAGAAGCAAAAAGTCTTCAAAAGAAAAAACAAGAAAGTTGCCTCACTCTCAAACGTTCCTCTTCTCCGATGGGGCTGGAAGAAAAATGGCTGAACCATCCGGGATCCCTCCATCCCACCCAAAAAGGCAAGGAAGAGGAGAGCTATGGCTACCCAAGGCCTTGTGGGACGACATCTTTTCCAGCAAGAGCCAAGAGCTCCTGCCGGTGGGCCTTGACGGAGGCCAGACAGGCCACTCACTTACCGAATTAGGAGCCAGGCCCATGTTGGCTTCGATGTAGGTCTCCGTCTTGGGCTCCACCGCCAGTTCAGCTTCTAGGATCTTCTCCACCGGCATGTCCTCATTCGCGTTGCTGGTGGATTCCACCTCGTTCTCGTTGCGGTCCTTGCCTCTCTGCCGCTCCTCCTGGACAGCTGGAAGGGTCAGGAAAGGGGGGAGGGGTCAGTCTGACAGCTTTGGGTGCCGAAAGCTTTCACAGCAGGGAGCCTGGAAACGAGACGGGCCACTTAGGGTCTATGGGTGTGGAAAGCAACGTACGGTACTGGTAGTCCTCATTTAGTGACACCACTGGGATCGGCAACTCAGCCATTAAGCAAAGCAGCTGGCAAGTAAAAACACAGCTGCTGTGATCATGATCTTCCTTTCCTTCATTCAGCTTTATAGACTTGCAAAGGTCGTAAATGGGAGGACTGGATCAGTTCTGGAAGCCACAAAAGTTATTTTTTTAATCCGTATGGTAACCACAAGTGGTTGCTGAATGAAGCAGTCACTAAACAAGGACTACCTGGTCTCTTCTTTTTGTTTGGGGGAGAAGGGATGGAAAGGGATAAAAACGATTATTTGGTGCTTTAGGGTTTCAGGGAAATCGCAGCCTTAAAAACCTTTTTCCAGCCCAAACTGAGCTAATTTCCCCTGAGTTGGTTTCAAGTGGGGCGTTGACCCACCCCAAGGCTTGAATTGCCCATTTCACCCAGAAGCTCCCTCAGCTGGGCTGGAAACCCCTTGTGGCCCTCAGGCAGGACATAAAGACAAAAGGGGACCCCCCCCCACACCCGAGAACCACCCTCCCATTTTGCAGAATGGCATGGAGTCACCCAGGGGCAGGACCTGCAGGGGTTCTGGGCTTCGGGGAGCCCTGACGCTGTCCAGCATGTTGGACAGCCCAGCAGGCTGTGAGACCCCTCCAGGCCTGGACTGCTTTGACCCTGCAGGGACTCAGCCCCAGGACAACCCCCCCCCCCCCCTGAGAGCGATTCAGAGCATCATGAAGCTGTGGTGTCTTTCCGTTCGGAATGGGTGGGTTTTCTCCTGATGGTGGAGGGGATGCTCACCAACCATCTGGACACAGGGAAGGCGGAAGCACCGGGTAGGAGGGCTGCCCTGGCTGAGCCCCTGCTTTTGGGCTGTCACTTTAGCTCATTAAGATATACAGTCACAGGCCAAACACACTGAAGCTCCACAATGCATTACACAGCAGCCAATAAAACCTCTTCAGCCATACGCTCGACTGGACACAAGCGGGGAAGCCCTTCGCTCCAGGGGTTTCTAATTGCCACGGCCATGATGCAAATTTTGCCCACTGTGCAACTCTAAAGACTTGCTGAACTTGGTGGTTTAGTTGCTAGCTGAGTCTGAGCGGCTCTCCTTAGAGGGGCGATTAACTAACCCACCAGGCGCCTTCCTTCCAAGGAGACCCGGTCCCTTCCAGGCTTGGCCAATGGCTCCCCACGAGATCACAGGAGAGCTACTTCCAGCTAGACACACACAGATGCGGCAGAAAGACAACTGGCTTCCCAGGAAACCTAAAGCAAAGCACCGTTCGTGGCTTCACCCTCTGCCACCCTGACTCTGCCCCCTCCCCAAACTGCAGTTGATTTAGGGTGGACTTGACTAAACTTGGTTCCTTTGTGCCAAGACACTTACTGAAGGCTCTTTGGGCATTCCTCTCCTGGCATTTGCCGGCATGGCCAGAACCTGGCACTGGATGGCAGACTGACCTTCTGGTGAGAAATGGGATAGAATTTTCCCTTCCCGGAATTGCTCCGTTTCTTTCAAGGGTCAGCAGGGAAGGGCTTGGCGGGGGTTGACCCGGCTTCGGCCCTTGGCTCAGGCAGGGCCAATGTGCCATGGGGCTGCTCTGCTGCACTTAGCCAGCCCTGCAGTCCACATAGGCAAAAGGAGGCCAAACGCCCCTCTGGGACAGAGGACCAGAGCCCTCCGTGCCCACCCATGTGGAGGGCATCCCCAGCCCTCAGAGGCCAGCGCTTGAGAGGTTGTGGGGGTGGGGAGGTAAGAGGTCCCAACCTGAAGGATGCCCAGAAATTTATTCTGCTGCAGGGAAGCCCAGAGCAAGACTGTAAAATCTCTTCTTTGGCTTTGCTGGGCTTGTATGAAAGTCTCCATCTCCCTAAAGCCAACTGCAAAGCCCCAACGGCTACTTTCAGGGTGAAAAGGCAGCACTTTCCCCTCCTTCTCTTTTCAGCCACCATCCGACAAAGAAAAACATCAACTTGCTCTCTCTGATTGCTGCAGGGCCCGGCACAGAATTGGCCAAGCTTTGCAGCAACCGAAGTTTGCTGCCCCCTCTTGCATTGCAGCCAGTGGGGGTTTTTGGTACCCCCCATTCCTTGGTGGCCCTTCTGCCCCCCCCTAAGTGGCCCACTGTTTCCTTTGTGGGACCTCCGTGCATGACACTCACTGCTGAGACACAAAGAAGACACAAAGCCCAGCCCAGAACATCACACCTGCCCTCGTCTTTGAGGAAATGCTGCCAGGGAGGCTGCTGCCAATGGGTCACCCGGTGGCCAGCCTGCCCATCACAACCACCCTTGCCACACGCAGCCCCACCCGGACGCCAAGTCAGAAAGCTTCAGCAGAAATGGAGAGGAGGGGAGGCGCCCACCACCTCTCCTCACCACCACTGAAACGCTGAGCTTCCCTGCCTTTGCTGGTGGAGGCTTTGGTTAAGGCCAGGCCCACAGAACACCCGCTTGCCTGTTTATTCTCAAGAACTGCAGGCCCACACTTGTCCGATTAACGGTGCGAATGCGACCCTGGCTAATGCGCCACTTCCCAAATCCTCGGGGCTGCCCCAGAATGGGTCACATAAAAGGACCTGCGAAGGACTGACTGTTGCGGCCCCTCAGGCATCGCAAGGCAGAGTTTGGAAAGTGCCAAGGGCCCCTTTGGCCGAGAATCCTCCCACTCCAGACGCCTGTTGCATAAGCAAGGCAAGCGCTGCCTTCCAAGGGAAGAAACGGTTCAGAAACGCAGATCCTGAGCCACAGATGCCCACCTTCCTCAGCCTGCTGCCTTGAGCCCCTTCGACCATCTTGAGGGCCTTAAAAGCTTGCCTGGTGCGCTGTGGAACTGGCCCTGCAAGAGAGCCACACTCCAGCCCACCACGAGCCACAGAACCTGCCGCATCCCTTCCCCGGGCAGAGCAGTCTGCCCCGAGGGCCTGCCTCTTCTTTCGCCCTGCAGCCCCTCTGGGATTTGGCCTCCGTGCAGGGAGTCTCTCTGGCCTGAACTTCTTTCTGTTCCTTTCCTTTCCTGGCCAGAGAAGCTGCCCCTGCAGAGGGAGGAGGACCCGGCCGGTTCTGGGAGGACTCAGCCTCTCCAGGTAACCCTCTGGGGGCCCCAAGAGATGTTTGCTGCTTAACAGCTGGTCTAGTAAGATTGAAATGGGAGTACCTGGTTGCTCCTGCCTTCCAGGGAGTCTTGTGGGTCGGGATGGATGGTGCTCCATCCCTGCAATAGAGTAGAGATTGGGAAATGAAAGATCATTAGAAGAGAGGCAGCCGCCACCGCGGTGCATGTTTCAGTCATTCAATTGCAGCTGCTCTTGACTGTGGCAGCAGCAGCAGCACCCAAAGACCTCCCTTTTCCCAGACTGAAGGGGAGGGGGCTGGGGGGGATGTTTCTGGCCCAAAGTTTTAAGGTCTCCTTCTTCCTTTCCCCTCTCAGATGAAATCTTTGGGGCCAAAGGGCAAGCAGTCTGCACAAGCCCCCTTTCTGTCTCTCTGTCCCATCTACAGGCAGGACTTAGCTGGGGGAGGGGGGGAAGTGGGAGGGGGCTTCTTGTTTCCTAAGCTGCTAGAACATTAATGATCCTGTAATCCCTTGCAATGGGTTGGAGGCTGGGCAACTGAATGGAGCAGAGTGTTTACTGGCCGGATGCCCTTCCTGTTGCCAATGCGGAGTTATATTCAGCAGATATATTCTCATCGTGCCCAGAAAGAAAAATAGCTGCCTCTACCTAGGATCGAACTCACAGCCTCCTGATTGGGAGGCGAGAGCTCCATCTTTAGGCACCCCTCTCCTAAGCTGCTAGAAAACTCAGGGAGGGAAATGCAGAGAAGCCACCATGGGTCACGTCTTCCCATCAGAGCAGGAGCAGCAACAGCCACGTCCCTCCCGGTTTCTCTGCCTTCCTCTACACGCTGATCTTCAGCCCTGGTGGGGCAGGGGCTAAAGTGAAGCATTACAGTCTGACTCTGCCCACTGCCAGGAGTTCGATTCTGACCGGCTGGTGTTCTGGGGGTCTGACAGCCTTCCGTCTTTCTGAGGTTGGCAAAATGAGGACCCAGATTGTTGGGGCCAAGATGTTGACTTTGTAAACCTCTTAGAGAGGGCTGTGAAGCACTGTGGAGTGGTATGTAAGTGCTACTGTCATTGCTACCTTCCTTCCTCCCAGTGGTTAGAAGGTAGTATTGCAAGCTGACTCTGCCCACTGCCAGTAGTTCGATCCTGACCAACTGGCTCAAGGTTGACTCAGCCTTCCACCTTTCCTAGGTGGGTAAAATGAGGACCCAGATTGTTGGGGACAAGAGGCTGACCCTGTAAACTGCTTAGAGAGGGCTGTAAAAGCACTATGAAGTGGTATATAAGCCTAACGGCTATGGCTATTTTATTCCCTGGTGAATCTTTCTGGGAGTCTGCTGGGCTGAAGAGAGGTTGCAAACACATTCAAGGAATGCTGGTAGTTTCTGGGCTCTCTTAGGATGGGGCCAGGGAAGGGGCTAAGGGTCTCTGGCCATGGCCCCCTATCCTTCCCAAGCTAAAAGGAGACCTCCCAGGGAAAATGAGGTGGGCATCTGGGCACTCTGTCCTAGTTTGAGATCGAATAAAACTCTTTTCTCCAGGAGAGGAGAGGGGCCAGTTTCAGCCCAGCCAAAGGAAGGAACAGGGCAGATGGGTGCCCTTTGTCAGCCCTGCCTCAGCTTGGACTCCAAAGTGTCCCCCCTCCCATCAGGTTCCTCGGGTTTATGGCGGATTGGCACAGAAAGAGCCACCCGGAGCATAGCAGCTTTGAGGTGGCATCTGCCAGCCTTCACATCTGGCGGGAGACCTCTGACCCCACCCCAAGAGTGCGGCTTATGGCACAAAGAGCACCCCGCCCCACATCCCATCCCATAATTTCTTCTCATGGGGCAAAGCATGCCACAGATCACGCCAAGCTCATTCTTAGAACATGAACGCTTTCTTATTTCTGTACACCGGGTGGGTGTATCTTGGCCGCCTGCCTGCCTGCTTTTAAAATCAGGCCGTTTCTCGTTCTTTCCGAGTTCTCAGATTGAGTAACAGCCTCTCTGCGGATTCTCTGTTTCACAAACATCCACCACATGGAAGCCACAACCATTTCCTGGCCTGGGAACACGCAAGACTCCCATCTGCAGAGCAAAATCTACGGCTGCCCTTCACACACACAGCCCGGAGGAGATGAATCCTCCTCAGGCCTTCTCAGCTCAGGTCCAGATCTTCCTGCAAGGCCTCCTGCGATTCGCTTCCTCCACTGATCAAAATATTTAATGTTGGGGGTTGTTTCTTCTGAGAAAGGCTCTGATAAGTTTATCAAGGTCGGAAATTGTATACTAAGGAAATGAAGAACTTTTTTGCCTGGCTAAAAATCTATCCTCAAATCTTTTTTCTGCTATTTTCTCAGGGTTGTTCGGCCTTTGCTGGACCCAACACAGATAGTCCTTAACTCACCGCTGCTCCTTTACTCCCTGTCCACAGCTACAGGAGCCTCAAGAACTGGTGGTTTATGGCCCCTAAAGCACTTCCGGCCATTGTAAAACTTCGCAGCGCCATCCCGTCACATGAATGCATTTCAAGTGCTTGGCAAACTATTCTGATTTACAACCTGCCATCCCTCTTGTGATGGCCATTCCCAGTTTTCTCTGCCGGCTTCCCGAGAAAGTCAATGAAGAAACCAGCAGGAAAGGTTGCCAGCAGAGGAGAAGTTTGGATTTGAGGTCTGTTCTGGCGCGCAAGGAAAGATTTTCCCTCGGCTCCAGGCAGGCAAAGAAAACCCTCCCATGCGCTGAGAGAACAGGCCTCGAATCAGGTGAATGCCATCCTCAGACTGTTGGCATTTGGTATGTTTTTTCCACTGGAGGGGCAGAAATGCTGGCACTCGCTAACCTTTTCCCCTTTGGGATGGAAAAATGTGGAAAACGGCAGCCTTCTCAAAGACTGTTGGCGTTCATTAGCGCTTTTCTCATCGGAGGGGACAATGCCAGCCAATGCCACCATTCTGAGCCTTCCGGAACAACGGCATTTGCTAGCATTTGTGCCAGATTTGAGGTCCATTTCTGCAGCTTGCCGAGGGATTTGTCTCGTTCTTCTGGAGCCCCTCCAGGCCTCTCCACTGAGGGCTGATCATGCTGCGTCCTGGGCTCCTTCTATCCCTTGGGGCAGAAACCAGAAGCAGGGAAAGTAGCCAAGGAAGGGCAGAAGGAGGCTTCGAATCCTGGTGGCCAGAAGTGAGGAAAGTCCTCAGATGCTGCTAAGGGGGGGCAAGAGGAGCTTCTGAGCTGCGTTGAGCGAAGAAGGAAAGGAATCGGTGTGTCAGATACTCAGGGAAGGCAGCCAAAGAACAACAGAAAACAAGCAGGAGCTCTCTGCTCCGGGCAGGGAGGGAGAGAGGGCGGTCTCCTCTGAGGAGAGAATAAGTGGTCCCCTGGGAAATTAGGAAGGGCGGGTGGAAGGAAGAGGATCCCAGCTGGGGCATCTCAGGGACCCAAGCAGGGAGTGTCTCTTGACCTCAGATGAGTTCAGATCTCCAGGGCTGAAGACCGAGGACAGAGCAGCTGGGCCAAATTTATATGCAATTTCTGGAAGCCCCACAGAACACGAAGCATCCTAAAAGGGACTCCCCCCCCCCCACTCTCCATCCGGCCACAGAATCTGGAGAACCGCAAACCATCGCTCTGGCCTCAGCACTCGAGTTTGGAGAGCAGCAGCGGCGAGGACGGGAACCGGGAGGTGAGAAGAGAAAGGAGCGGAATAGGCCTCACCTGGTGGCTTAAGGGGGAGGTGGCACTTTGGACCATAGCAGGCACAATCGTGGCATCGCTGCCTCTTCTGTGGAGCCAGGCGGCTTCCGTGGACAGCTGTCCAAGGGAGAGTTTCTGAGGAGGCGACCACGTATTTTGTGATTCTGGCTGATGCCCAGATGGCATCGGAGCACACAGTTTGGGCTGGGACCGATTCCTACGGAGCCCATCACACAGTCCAACAATGGAGGGGCTTCTGGCACCTGTGTGTGCCACTACCCGTAGGCTGGGTCCCTGCCTGGATTGGCTACTGAGGCCGTTTAAAGACTTTACCCACAGCCAGAGGAGCATTAATGCTCTTGGCAGCCCTGGTCAGAGTTTCCTGCCCCCTAAAAAAGACAACAATGCACCAATTCAAACAGGCCCCACACTTCCCAACTTAGCCAGGCTGGTGGAGAAGGCCACCGCACAGAAATTCCCCTGTCTTCTGCATCGTTTTCAACCTAGGACTGAATATGGCTCAGGTGAGTTCCCACCCCCACCCCCCACAGAATGCCAGGTGGCACCTCCTGGGCCTGCTGGATCCTGGACTGGTGCCAAGAGAGCCTTGAGCAGCATTGGCTGAGAAAACACCTAGCTCCCACCTGGAGGAGAAAGACCCAGTTTTGGCAACTTGGGCACCAGCCATCAAAAGACGGCGGGGAGCTCAGCCCTCCTGCCCATTTGCCTGAGGCGCCTGCGGATCCTCTTGTGCCTACAACTGTCCTTATCTGGCCACTTCCGCTCTCCCTGGGCAGCCTCAGCCTGCAACAAGCTGCCTCTTTGCTAGCCGTGGGGAGGATGCTGGGGGCACAGCCATTTATCCAAGCCCCTTGACTATGCAAACCTAGAGCGTTATTGTTTTAAACGTGGCTGTAATTTTACCTCTGATGTTCTAATTAGATAGCTGCCAGCACCCTGAGCCATGAAATGAAGTTGGCGGCTTAATCAATTAAAATAAAGCCCAGAAGGTCCATCAAACAAGGGAAAGTCCAGACCTCTCCCCCCACCCCCACCCCCATCCTGAGTGCCAAGGAAAGCTTTAGGTGGGCTCAGAGGGAGCTGGCAGCCTTCAGTGTGCATGGGGGAGGGCACCCGAGGTTGCATTCCTTCCCCAGCCCAGGAAGACGTGGGGCACTGCGTGGCCCCAGGGCTGAGTCCAAGGCAGGAGGTGCTGGCCTGCCCTCTGCACCGAACCCGACCAGGCCCCAAACACAGGACAGTACCATCCCTCTGCGACTCCTTCCGAACAAAGGGGGAGGAGGCGAGACCCCCCACCCCTCCTAACCTCCCACCTCTTCATAGGGTCATTATGATCTCACACTCACCTCCACACACACAAACACACACAAGTTTTGTTTTTGAACAACCAGCTGACTTTTTATTTCCCATTATTTCTATTTCTTGTGAGGCTCCCTTCTTAACCCAGAAAAGGGAGAAATGAACAATTGCTCTCCAGAATGGCTTCCTTACCAGACAGATCTATTTTCCTGAGTCTGATGCAGGTAAGGAAGGGTGCTATCCAGATGGAACCTCCTCTTGCAGAGGTAGACTATCTTGAAGAGGAGTTGCCAGGAAAGAGTGGAGGTATTTCTTTCCTATCCTGCCTGCTGGGGTATCCCTTGCCTCTGGGGTCTTTGGTCCAGAAGTGAAGCCAGCCTGCACCCGGAGTCCACCTGCAGATGATTGCCCCCACCTCCAAGGGGGGGACCGCCAGGGCTTGCCAGCAGAAGCTGCCCTCGCATCCCCACAAGCAGCCTGAGCAACTGTCCCGCAGGCAGGCAGGGTCCCAGAGAAGCCCTCTCGCCCCAATTCCACTTTTCTCTTGGGGTTCACTCCCATCTTGTGGTCCTGTTGTGCTGAGCACCTTCCACAGAGCCAGCCACAGGGCAGAGCTCACTAAAAAAAGAAAGGTAAAGGTTCTCCTTGCACGTATGTGCTAGTTGTTCCTGACTCTAGGGGGCGGTGCTCATCTCCGTTTCAAAGCCGAAGAGCCAGTGCAAGACTTCTCCGTAGTCATGTGGCCACACGACTCAATGCCAAAGGCACATGGAACGCTGTTCCATTCCCACCAAAGGTGGTCCCTATTTTCCTACTTGCATTTTCTATGTGCTTTCGAACTGCTAGGTTGGCAGAAGCTGGGACAAGTCACGGGAGCTCACTCCATTATGTGGTGCTAGGGATTCGAACTGCTGACCTTTCTGATTGACAAGCTCAGCGTCTTAGCCACTGAGCCACTGCGTCCCACCTAAAAGGAAAGCTACTAGTATATAGCAAACCCCACTCTGTTCTAGCACTGATGATGTTGCCTAGTAGGGTCGTGAAATGTCTGTAAGAAAGCAACCAAGCTCTGAGAGCACCAAGGACTCCCCCATTACTCATCCAATTGGCAAAAAGCCCTGTAGAACCTGAAGACATGCTTTGCTTTGTCTTGCAATGGCCAGCAGGAACGGCCTTGAGGAACAGAAGAAAGAGGAGACACTACCCAGACAATAAGAGAATGATCAGATAAGAGAAATCTGAGACCTGGAGAGAAATGTAATCTGAGGAAGCTTCTCCAGCAAGACCCTCCCTGGTTCTCGGGAGGATAAAGGGGGGGGAGGGGGAGGCGCATTCAGATTCTGCTATCATAAGCTTATAATAAAAGTAGTATTAGCATGCATGACTTCGGTTCCCTGATCTTGTCTACTTTGAAGGGCTGATGTGTCTACACCTGGCAGGCGCTAACTTACTCCCACCCCACCCCCATCTCAATGCTCTCCATGGGATTTCCCTCCCTTGCAACCCAGTCAGAAATTCTGGAAGAGGCCACAGAGAGAGGAGAGATGTTCCATAGGGAGGGGGAAGCAGGCAATGGCTGCAGGAAACCGGACCACCCCAAGCCCAGGGGACAGGCATGGCTGGGCTAAGGATGTGCCCGCTGACTTGATGGTGCAACCAGGCCCAGCCTTCTTCTCAACCCAACCCAGACAAGGGACCTGCTTCCTGGGCGGCTTTCGTGAAGAGGAGAAAGGACGGTGCCAAGGTTGCCTCTTGGGAAATCCAAAGCTATGAAATCTACTTCATCACAGGCAGACTATACTAAAAACAAAACCCTAAGTGTCTAGTCCTTATGATCACATCTGAGTATTTCAAAGCGAATGGGGGGACACCAAAATACAATGTCCTGTGCTCATGGGATGGATGCTGATGCAAAATGAAATCATGGAGAAATGTAGAGTTGTGAGGAATAAAACAAGGGACACGAATTGACTGGCGTTAAGCTGTCAATGCTCCTGATTAACAAAAACTCTGCTTATTCCTGACTTCCCCACCACCACCCAAGAGTGCAGGGCTCCCTCACTGTCCTGGGTCAAGCATTGCCATTCTCAGCTTGACCACCACGTTACTAAGAACCAAGTACCCGGCCTTGACTCCCCTCCATCAAACCACACTGGGATTAACCAGCCGCCAAGGACACCAAACCTGGGAGCAGAGTGAGAAATTGCACCAAGACGGGCCAAATATCTAAGTGGTTCCCAAAACATTGGAGCTGCTTGCAACTGGACACCTGGTCACCGATAAAAGGGACAAAGGCGGAAGGGCCGTGGAAAGGGGGAAAGTATAACCTTTCTGTGGTAATATTCCAACCTAGCCTTGCTTTCACTGCAACCACTAATCCTTAATAAAAGAACCTATCATTTCAACCAAATGGAGTCAAGGGTCTCTCTTGCCTAGGGATCTGAGTGGAGCAGGCCTGACAGTTATATCAAACAGCACACAAACAAGGAACAAGACAATGCCTTACAAAGGGGTGGGGGAGGGGACTGATTCTGCACTGTCAGGGGATAAATGTGAAAACAATATAATTGTCCCGTTGCGGGGAGGTTGGTCTAGATGACCTCCAAATTCCCTTTTAGCACTTCCATTCAATGCTTCCTTGACCACCAGAGGCCTCACAACTATGACCGCCCCTTCACCGTCTGAGTTCTCCTGGCCTCACCTTCCCTCTTCATGCCCATTGCCAGGCACTTCTGGTAGCGGCAGTACTGGCACCGGTTCCGCTGGCGCTTGTCAATCAGGCAGTCCTTGTTGTCCCGGCAAGTGTAGCTCAGGTCTTTGCGCACTGTCCGTTTGAAGAAGCCCTTGCAGCCCTCACAGCTGTACACCCCGTAATGCTTGCCTGGGGGGGGGGGAGAAGACAGACGGGGCAGGGCAAATGGGAGGGTGGCCTCCAAGAAATGTTTCCCTTCGGCCTCTGCCTGGCCCTCTGGTGCAGGGAGGGCAAGTGCCAGCCTGTTCCTTTGTTAGAGGAGTCTTCACGCCACCCAGGGAGGCACTTGGTCAAAGGTTAAGGGGACAGGAGTGATGTCCACAAAGAGTGGCAGTACCAGCCTCTCTGCCCCAGAATCTGAAGCAGTGGGTGGGAAAGGGAGAGATTTAGCTGCCCAGCTTGGCATCCCGCTGAGTCCCACCAGGTAGGGAGAGCCCACCTCCTGGGTGCTTGGGGACTTTTTTGACAGAGGGAGGGGAGCCCTGTTAGTCACACCCACTTGTGGGAAATGCCTTCCCTGAAGACTAACTGGGAGCAGAGGCCTGGGCAGAGCAGTTAGATGCCAGCTAGAAACAGTGCAAGGAGGGCATTACCTGAGGAGCGGTCTCCGCAGATGGCGCAGATGTGCTTGGTGAAGGCGGGCATGGCGGAGGAAGGGTGCATTGGCACTTTGAGTACCCCATTGATTCCCAGGGGGGGCTTGATGTCTTCTGTGCTGCTCACGGGGTTCAGAGGGGAGTTGAGCTGGGAGGAAAGAGGGGGCAAGAAAGGGAGGCTGTGGTTAGAAACCCTGAAACCCCAAATCTCCTCAGGCCTCCTGTCCCAGGGCTGGGCAGGGTTGACCCCCCTCCCCATTTCAGAGGTGGTGGGCCAGCCTGAAAGGCAGCCTCAGAGTGGAAAGCCCACCTAAGGAGGGAGGTCTGTTGCAAAAGCTTCAGGCACCCAAAACACACACACACACACACACACACACACAGAGTCCCTGGAGGAGTGGCTTCTGAATGGGCCAAGGCTGGGGAGGGGCACCCATTTCATTGTGAATAGCTTTGCTCATGCAAATTGGGGAGGAGGGACACTTCCTGCCAATTTTGTAGTAACCCCGTTCTTCATTTTCCTGATGCCTATCCCAGCTGGCAACCTGCACCTTTTCAATGTTCCCTTTAATTTTTTTTCAGTGTGTGTGGAAAAGTATAGTGTTTGAGCGACACATTTTCATTCCTGAGCACCTGAATTTTTTTCACAGATGTTTCACAGAGCAATTGATTTATAGGATCTGAATTGGAATGGAGAAAAATGGTTTTGTGCGTGAGTGTGAGTGAGTCTGTGTGTATGTTTAAGTGAGAGAGGGATCCGGTAAGAGAACTGTGCTATTTA